CGAGCGCAAGGCCATGGGCCCTCGGCCTTCAGCCATGACCGCTGGGCACTGGGCCATGAGCTCAGAGCCTTGCGGGGCTGAGCTCTGGGCCCTGAGCATTGAGCATTGAGCCCTGGGCACTGGGCCTTGGGCCTGAGCCATCTGCGCTCAAGCGCTGGGCGCGGAGCCTTGAGCATTCGGCGCTGGGCACTCAGCTCTGAACCTTGAGATTGGTTGGGCCTTGAGCACTTGGCCATGGTCCCTCAACCTCGAATGCTGAGCACTGGGCGCTGAGCCTTGGGCCCTTGGCGCTGGGCCTTTGGCACTCGGGCATGCGCGCTGGGCACTGGGCCATGGGCACTGAGCAGTTGGCACGTGGCCCTGGGCATTGAGCCCTGACCTGGGCATCAGAACCACGATGCTGCCACGGCCGCTACTACTACCCACCACGTATACGTTCATTACGTTTACCACTGCGACAGGTACTGCTATTGAGACGAACGCTACGACTTAGTATTACAAGTTTAGCACTGGCCCTGCTATTACAACAGCAGCATCTACTATCACTGGTACTACACCGAAAACTACTCAGACCACTAACCCCTACCGCCACTTCTGCTTCTACGATTACTGCTATTACTACTACTACTACCACTACTACTACGACTTGTGCTACTAATACTCTTAGTACTACTACTGCCACTACTACAACTACTACTACTTATACTACTACGACTACTACTACTACTACTACTACGACTACTACTACTACTACTACTACTACTACTACTACTACTACTACTACTGCTGCTGCTGCTGCTGCTGCTGCTGCTGCTGCTGCTGCTACTACTACTACTACTACTGCTACTACTGCCACTACTGCTACTACTACTACTACTACTACTACTGGTACTACTGCTACTACTACTGCTACTACTACTACTACTACTACTACTACTACCCTTACAATGCACTACGACATGCTGCTACAACATGTGTGTCAATATATGTATATGTACTACTGCCACGACTACCACCACTACTCCTACTTCTACGCCTGCTAAGTCAATTTTTGTGACTACTAATACGGCAGCAATAACAACACTTATCACTACTGTTACAACAACACTACCAAAACAAAATACTGCTACTACTACTCTCGCTTCTTCTAATAGAAGCAGCACGCACCATGAACATGCCACGTACTGAATATTCGATACAAAACGTGAGGGGGGGGGAACCCTAAAGTCAAACAGGTTATGTCCTCCGTGCTCCTCCGCCCCCGAACCGCCACCCTCAACTGAGGGTACCCGTGGCAACCCCACAGGGCCAGACCCCGCGTTGCCCGCGACCCTCGCCCCCAAGGCAACCGCCAGAGGGCCAGTGAAACAAAACAGCACGCCAGCGGGCCGTCGCGGCCCTGCTGGGGGGGGAAGGGTGGCCTCACCGCCGCGCCGCTCCACGGCAGCCTTTCGGCTCGGCGGTGAGGTCCACGGGGCCTGGCGGGTTGGCGCAGTGGCCATTGTACTCACCTCCCCCGCCTCCGCCGTAACCACCCCGAAACCAAAGAGTCAACGTGCCATGGCGTAACGTATCATAGCACGCGCATGCACGTTAGTGCGCAAGTTGACCGTGCATAGGGCCTTTTTGGGGCTCTCTTGAGGCTCTGGTAGGGCTCGTTTGGTGAGCATCGGGGGCCCTTTCGGGGCTCTCTTGGGGCTCTTTGTTGGGGATCCCTTGAGGTCGCGCGGGGCCGTCTGTGACCCTCTGGCCTAGAAAGAGGAGGGCATGTGATGCAGGCCCCCTTCGGAGGCCCAGCGGGGGCGTCTTGGGGCCGCCTGCCTGGCGCTAGTCGCCTGGCAGCGGCGCGGGGTCGACCCAGCATGTCCGAAGCTGACGCTGATGAGAACATGACCGATCCCACACGCCCGCGGGTGAGGCTGAGGAGACATTTCCGAAGCGGACGGGACAGCGCTGTCGGAGACAGTCGGGCACGTGCTGCGTGCGCTGTCGGGGACAGTCGGCCGCCAGGCCCGAAACATGAGAATATGCCGCGGGCATTGAAGACATTGAGAGCTGACAGAAGTGCCGATCACTCCGTATACTTCTCCTCCTCCTCCTTCTCCTCCCCCCCCTCCTCCTCCTCCTCCTCTTCCTCCTCCTCTTCCTCACCCCCATTCCTTCTCCTCCTCCTCCTCCTCGTTCTCCTCCTCCTCCTCCCCACCCCCCTCCCCCCCCTCTACCGAAACCCCAGACGCATCTCTAGGGGGGTGCCACTTCCCTCCACCTTCGGCAACTTACAACTGTCAGCACTTAGCGCTGCGGGCCCCTTCTAGATGAGACCAGCAATGCCCTGGCGTCTGAAACTCGAAGCGGCGTGCGTCGCAGCGGCTGGCGTCCCAAACGGACGCTGCCAACGGCAAGTGCGACGCGGGCTGCTACTCGGAACGATGCGGTCTTGATGCTCTCTTGAGGCTCCTTCTGGGGCTCTATTGAAGCCCTCTGTGGGGCTCTCTTGGGGCTCTTGTTGGTGCTTTTCTGGTGAGCATTGGGGCCCTCTTGGGGCTCTCTTGGGGCTCTGTGTCGGGGCCATCTTGTGGCCTGTTGGTGCCATCTTTGACCCATTGGCTTAGAAAGGTGAGGGCGGGTGACG